GCTGCCGTTTTTGTGAAGTGGTATTATGAAAGACTCCTTCCAGGCTGACGGAAAAACGCCATGTTTAAGTGACAAATTGAATAGAGTTGTTAAAGGCTCGCAGATGTTCTCAGCGCAGTTTTTAAGAAAACAGGTCGGAATATGATCAGGTCCAGGCCTAAATGACGCTTTTAAGGTTTTTAAAGAGTGTAAAACTTCATCGGAAGATATTACTGGAATATAAGCAGAGTTGATTGGACAAAGCTCGTACGGATAGTCTCCACTTATAGGGAAGTCTACAGAATAATTGGACCTAAAGAACCGAGCAAACATGTTGGCAATGAGTTGGCTGTCGCTAGATACAGTGTTGCGATAATGCATAGCGGACGGAAAACCATGTGCCTTACGCTTTGAATTTACGAAACCATAAAATGATTTAGGATTGTTAATTAAATTCTTCTTAATTTTACATAAATATGAATTATAACATTTCTTATTTAATGCAAAGTAGCTATGCCGCAAAACTGAGTACCTTAGGTAATCACTGTGTAAGCCCGTTCTTTTATACAGTTTAAAAGAGTGCGAATTTTTATTTTTAAATTTTTTAAGCTCTTTATTGAACCATAATTGTATTGGTTCTTCATGAACAATATTACGTATTGGCACATACTTTCGAAACAAATTGAAAACAGTATCATTAAAGTGCTCAACGCTACGATCCACGTCATCTCTATATATTGGCCAAGATAACTTTGAAAGTTCTTTGTTAATTTTCCTGAAATAGACACACAAACAAACACAATAGCACCCACACACCGCCGCCGGCAACTCCTAGTCCCTCCGACAATCTGCTCTGTCTGTCAGTCAAGAATACACCGTAACGTGACATCAGTCAACATCGAACTCCGAGGATTTTCGGGTTATTCACCGTCGGTACTGTTACGTCATCGACGGGAATACCCAGTGGCAGTCTGACCTCCTTCGTCCAGGTGGTGAAAAGGGTTGCCGAGGATTTCGCAGGGCATAGGGCTAGGCTCCTTGCAGTGAAGAAGCGAGAACGTTCGGAGAGGTAACCGTTTACTTTTGAGCACTAGTCATCAATTCCATTCCCAGACGCCATGATCGAATAATCGTCAGCATATGAGACTATATTAACACCCTCTGGTGGCTGAGGAAGCTTTGATATGTAATAATTAAACAGTAGCGGGGACAGGACACCACCCTGTGGTACCCCCTGTTTAATTTTACGTGGCTTGCTGGTTTTGTCACTCAGGTAATTCGACGACCACCGTTTGAGTCCCTGTGGGAGTGAGGAGGCCTCTATATCTTCTAGTAGCGTTGAATGACTGACAGTGTCGAACGCCTTGGACAGGTCCAACGCTACTAGAATAGTTCTCTCACAAGGGCGGTTTCGGTTTAGGCCACGAGTTATCTGAGTGTTTATGTCGTTAAGTGCTGTTGTTGTACTATGCACTTTGCGGAACCCATGTTGATGCTTCGGTGGGGTCAGGTGGTTCGTGAAGTACGGGAGCAGCAGGGCCTCGAGTGTCTTCGCTACCGGGGAAAGGAGAGTTATCGGGCGATAAGACTCTCCTATGTTGGCAGGTTTCCCCG